CGCGCACGGGAAAGGTGATATTCATAACGTGCTAATGGGTGCAGCAGCGGCGGCACCACCCTTTCTGGAACAACCACAGACCCTGTGTGAGCGCACGGGAGTAGCGTGGCTTATCTGCGAGACACACAGAAACACTGGCAACTGAATCAAACGTATGCGGTAAATACGAAACAAATTACTGACATATTACGTAGAACTGTGAAACAAAATCAAAATAACAGACAAAAAACATTATGTACCCGGAAGTTCATATTATGTTAACAGTAACGCAGCAGGCCGATCGATAGCAGGCCATTTTTTCTAAACACAAGTTTCAATGGATAGGCAATGAACATCAAGTAGGCTAACTAAAGGCACGAGTCAGCATGAACACATCGGCACGGTCATGGTATGAGCATTAATCTTCCTTTTTGTTCGTGTAACTCTCATCCCTTGACTCAGTCTATTCCACGAATCTGTCACAGTATGACATGTTTCACGACAGAGACGCGGAGGTGCGATACGTGACACTGTGGGCGTAAATATTATGGTGGGGTAACTTAGCGTGACTTATCAGCACCGAGTGGGCGCAAAAAGCGATGTACCTTGGAGAGAGCACGTGCCAAAAAAGCAATGCTTTCCACTCAAATGCCACAAAGCATGCAAGTGCTAGCATAGCAGCCAGCTTTATAGAGTTCAGAGCGGCCAGCCAATGGAGAGTGCTGCGGCATATGGGCCATTTGCAGGCGTGTGTCTGTCACGTTAGTGCGGTACACATAGGAAGCATCTCGTTATGACTAATGATATACGTCGATTTATGAAAAAAGCCTATGCCCACTTAAGTCACGTAACTGGATAAATTGTACAATTCTAATTGTAGATTGAAAGAGCCGTCATTATCAACAAATCACCGATGTCCAGTGATGACATCAGGGTAAATGATCGGGAAAAGTGGGAGACAATAAGCGTTATAAAGGGGAGACCCGGATGGTATGAGCCATCGCAGTTTTGAAGAAGTGATGCGTATTTTTACACATTTGACCACGTAAACTGGTAGCAGCCATTTCGTTATACAACCCATGAGATTTCCAAAATCTTCCTCAGTCTCCTTTGGCAATGAGCGGTGATAAAAGCGTTTTTACCCTCTTCGAGTAAAATACGGTACATACAGAAAATTCGTGATTAATGTGAGCCAGACTCGTCTTATTATGTCATATCACCTATAACATAAAGTTTAAAGCATGTAAATGAAGACAAGGCAGACAATTTGAAATTTTCTTGCAAGATTATGAGCTGAGATGCTACGTGCATTCTGGCATCTTAACTGGGAGGTTCAGGCCACCCACTCTCCTGGGTCTCCCCTACAACCAACCATGAACGATTTTACCCACGCTTATACGCCTAGACCTAGGCTAATTGTGATATACGCAAGCACGTCGGAGAACATAGTGTTCTCTAAAAAAAGTATGACGTAGAGAAAGAGCGCAAGTTAAGCATTGTGCTGAGTGTGCCAAAAGTATTCTATGCCGGTTCAAACCCTGGGTTCAAACTGCCGATAAAGGTTAAATAGATCGTGGATTAAATCATACAGCGATTTGACCAGTAATTTGCATGCTCCATTGACTAATGACTATACTTCATTGGCGCTAAATGTAGACATGGAGAGTACCTACCAGAAACAGGCCTGCACGCTGCGTACGTGGAGGTCCGGAAATATTCAAACTTTTTATGCAAATTCAACGATGCCAGAAAATCTTTCCCGATTATTTTCCGATGGAACGTCGCCTCGGAGCGATTCGCACATCCGGTGTGGTGCCTCTGCCCCCTATTGATTCAGCCAGCACAGGCGGCTTCATTAGCCCATGGGTCTATCCCTCGCTAGTCCTGACTGGAGCTAAAAGAGGGCGTCAGGTTACCAGCCCCTTCCTGCAGACTGCGCAGATACTCGATCGGGGAAGAAGTGGATTGTAACAATGGCAACAAGAACTGCATAAGATGGTGTGAAAGGTCAGTATCCCACAATGCATTGTCATTTCACTGTCAAATCATCTTCAATTGAACATACTGCAGCTTTCAACTATAATATTGCACTGGAACATATCAGGCATGAAAAAGGATAACAAATTTGGAATGCTGGTGATAACATGTTCATCTGGCAATGTATAAATCTCTCAGAATCATTCTATGAAAAAAAAACAAAAAATCTGCAAAAGAATGAAACTATAAAATATGAGCAAATAAAACTACTGCAATTAAAATAGGTAGGTAGCCTATGCACAATAAGCTAACCCAAAGGTAAATTCTTGCAAAGATAAAAAACTGAGCAACAACATTTTGTTGCTTAAATACCTTAAGGTATTTATCACAGGCATTCAGGTTTCTGGACCTGCTGTTCTAAGCACCATGGTAACCCTTCTGACAAATGGTATGCATTTCAACTCATTTGGACACATTAGACATGGTCCAGACATTGCACAGGACCAACTTTAAACATTGATCAATAATAAAGATGCTAAAACCGCTGCCATAGTAGCACAGATACCAAAATTATCAACTGCAGTCCAGTATTTTGCCAGTCACCATTCACTCCAATGGCATGTAGATAGCTGAAAATTTAGCAAAAACATGCATAGTTTCATGGATGACTGTGAGCCCTTATGAAGGATGCCACCAGCTCTACATTTAACCCTCGCCCGCACATGGGGGGGTGGTTGCCACCCCCCCCCCCCAGGTAGTCTTTCTGCTCTGCACTCAACATTTTTAGAGCTAGAAGGCTGATTTTTCGCATAGCTGCTCCTCTATCCTTTCTTGATGTCCACTGAAAATTTCAAGTTTCTGTGATTTTTGGTTTAGGAGATATGACCTTGTTTTTCAGGTCATGTCATGACCCAAATGGCCAATTCTCAACATCTTTCGTTTGCCATGGGCCTTGTGAGCTTTTGACACCCTGATTTCGGCCTTTTTTGCCAGTCTTACCTCCCACCTATCATGGAACATGTTGTTCGACGATGTACAGGGGTCAAGGTCAGGGTCAAGGTCAACCTAGGTCATCTAAGATAATTGCGTTTTAGGCAAGCTGAATTTACTTTTTGTGAAGTTTTTTTACTGCATTTTTGGTAAAAGCTTCTCAGATCATGATTTCATGTGATATGGACCCAAAAACAATCGGTGCACACATCAGTATACACACAGACACACACAGACATACAAACACATATAATTGACCTTGACCTAACTTGACCTGAAATGACCTCAGCAGCAAAATTTTGGTCGGATAGTGTGACAAAGAGGTTCTAGCTGGCTTGGCACCAGAAAACAGCATCGTCATCGGTATTTGATAAGCAGCGCACTTGATATCCAACGGTGACCCAAAACAGCAACATTTTTTAGTTTGACCTGACCTGGAAGGTCAATGACTGACCTGAGAAGGTAAAACTGGGTATCATTGGATTCGTCTCTTCTCAAAGAATCTTTTTGGTCTTTACTGCTAAGCTCTATCTCCAACAGGAACGAAATGGCGCGGGGGGTGGCAACCACCCCCCCCCATGTGCGTTCTAGGATGGGAAAATAGCATGTGCGGGCGAGGGTTAAGATTTCAAAAACTGTCAACTGAAGACACTTATAAAGCATATAACTGTATTGTCTATTACACCATGAGCCTCAAAGCCACTCTTTTATTTAATATCCATTTTATTATCCTATCAAACTGTTGTTAATGCATAACAGTCTTGGTTTGAACACATCACTGGACACAACTGGACACATCACACAACTCTCTTTTGAGCTCTATAAGCACTGCAAAAAATATGGACAGTTTAATTATGCTATTGCTATGGGCTTGTTCCAGTGGTTCCTCCAGCCTCATCTAAGCTCCTCTAACCTTATCTCATTTAAAAAAGTTGTTCCTGTCACTCCCCTAAGCTCCTCTAAGCTCATCCCAATTTGACATCTCGCCACCACTATTTACCTCCTCCCTCATCCCACAGAAAAGTGATATAAGCCTAGTAATATAATCCTGAATTGCTTATAAGTGAGATTTGAGTGATGTGGAATTGTAAATGATTTTGGGATTACAGCCATTACAGCCAGCCCAGCAAACAGCTGATTTCCTCACAAAAATGTTCCCTTGGCTGCTCTTAAATGGCTCTCGTCGACGCTCATCAATCACATAGTTCCACTTTGACTTACCATTGGAACAGACCCTATGGCAAACAAATTCATGAATTCATATTTAAGAAGACAGCAAAAACCAATAACAACAAAGTGTTATACATAATATGATATAAATTCAAATGGAGTCTCATAGCCAAAAATGCAAATAATTTATCATTTCATTTTTTTCAATGCCAATCATTCAACTCTGAAAGTTGACAAAATTTCCTTTTAAATTTTACAGAACAAATATGAATATCAAATTATTAACAATGATGGGTACACAAATGACTAACTTACGCAGGAAATGAAACAATAAAAGGAACCACCCATCTCAATCTGCATCGTTATCCAGTGGCAATACCGTGGTCAGACGAGACCACAGACGAGACATCGAGGGCCTACTCTCAAAGGAAATGAATGAAAATTGAGGAATATTACATGAGACATCAGATGAAGGGTTAGGTATTTACCTTGCTGAAGATATTCTCGGTTCTAATCAAGGCTATATAACCGTTCTAATGCACCCAAAAATATAGCTGACCGAAAAAACCACTCCACACACAAGGCAGCCAAGTGAAAAGAAATAAATGAGTGGGGTGTTCGGAGACTGACGCGCCATAAACGCCTCTCAACAAGAATATGGAAGCAATTTTCCAAATCTATCTAAAAATATTGCTTGAATCATTGTCTTTATTGATTCCAATCGTGTCAGAGAACTCAAAATGATATTCAATTAATTTTTAATGACATGCAAATGTATACGAGTAAATTATATTAGATCTAATCTATGGAAAAAAAGTCAAATTCGCACACATGCTCAAGGTAATGCTACCAAATCCCAACGCTCAGCTGACCACATTTCTTTTGTCATCTACTGGTGATCTTACCGCGAAGGAGCCCCTCTGGCTAGAAATTCGCGAGCTTCGCTGCAGATTCCGAGTACCGAGCCACCCATTGGTTCTCTCACGGCCTTGGCCGTCGCTCCTCCTGAGCGGAGTACGCGCGCGAGGGGGCGCGCGTGGAGGCCGTCCCGGAGGAGGTACTCCGTGCGCGGTGTGCGCCCTCGAGGCCGGAAATCACACCGACTGTGGTCAGTGGTGGTGTCTGTGCGTAGTGCTGTAGCTTTATCCGCCATCCAGAGGCACTGAAAATGCCAGTGTTTCACACGAAAACGATCGAGAGCATTTTGGAGCCTGTAGCTCATCAGGTAAGTTCAGTTCGTCTCTCTCTCGTCACCTGTCGAATGATGCCGATTGCCGGGGTGGATTTAGCTTGAGCTACGGGAAGTCAAAAGATTCGAAAACCGCTCGTCGTTCTCTCACTACCATCCTTGAATAAGAGGACGAATGAATGAATGAATGAATGAAAAGTGGGTGGATGAATGATTGAATGAATGAATGAATGGTTTGGTGAATGAATCTCTAAATGAGTGAAATGATGCATGTATGATGATGAATGAATAATTGATTGAATAAATGAACCAACGAATGAATGACAAGTGTACCTATCAGTCAATCGTTTATGTAATGAACTATTGGCATTTACTTCCGCCGTGCGTGCGTCTGGAAGGCATGTTGTTGTTGTGGTATAGGGCTAAGGGCCCGTAGCAACTTGGCTCTTGCGTCCAACTGGAAGGCATGGCGCCGTGCTACATTGGTGTGCATTCCCGCGCCCCGCTGGGGGGGGGGGGGCAGAATCTGCCCCCTCCCGTTTTTCGCCAATAACTTCTAAACGCGTTACGCCAGCGACGTCAAGCCTTCCGTACCCTATCATACATCAATTTGACACGTTCCCTGAAAATTTGAGCGAAATCCGTCGGAAAATGTTTGAGAAATTGACGTTTTAGTGACTTCATGTTTGCCATTTTCGCCTCAAAAACGGCAAAATTTCCAACGCCGCTAACGTCTTCATTTTTAAAGGAATCAAGACGTAACAAAAAAAGATTATACGTGATTCTACTTTGTCTATCAAATGGCCATCTTGATTTTCTGAAAATTTTGGATTTTTTTCCCAATTTAAAAAAAAACTGACTTTTTGGGAATATAATTATAAAATCCAAAATTTTGAGTGTATCGCAAAAACCGGAGTATATGTCAGAGAAGTGGTCTATGTGCACTACTTACAAATTTCTAGAAGAATCGGTTCAAAAATGTGGGAGTTATTCAAAAATTTATGACGTCACGACACACAAAAATTTTGAAAAATGATTTTTTTGGAAGTTCCAAACCTCGTACGGAAACAAAAATAGCACCATTCTATTCGCCGTGAAAAAAACTGCATCAGATAGACACCTTTTTAGGCCTTAACCCTCGCCCGTATGGGGGGGGGGGGGGTCGAACGGACCCCCCATGGTTTTTCGCGAATAACTCGCGTAAAAAGCGGCCGATCGCGACGAAACTTTCAGTACCCTCGCATTCATCAATTTCACACCTACCCTGAAAATTTCATGACCCTGACCTAAATGACCTTTGACCTGTGACCTGCTTAGTGCTTTTCGAGACCATGTTTGGCTGCCCTAGGAAAAAAACCATCAGGATTTTTCTGATGGTCTGATGGTGCATGGAAATTGGCCCACTGGCATGGGTGAAACTTTGACATCACCATTGGGGTCCCAAACGTCCAAGGGGGCCTCCATTTAGTGGGGGCCTCCAAGCAATTAGGGGCCTCCAATTGCGGAAGCGGTAATTTACGAGCCACGCCAGGGCCTCCTCTAAGAAATTTTCATTGGGGGACCAGAGGCTCAGAAGCCAAACATGGGGTACCCCCAAATCCAGTTTTCTCATCGGATTTAGGCCACTTATTTTTCGTCACAGCTCTGATGCCATGATTTTTTTTAATATCGATAAAGAAATGATAGGTCACCTGACCCTACTGGTGGATCCAGGCCAGCAGGGTGACATTGTATGTAAATATCCCCCGCGGCATCCGAAATCGACGAAAATTTCTGGCTTTTTCACTTTTGACAATAAAACACAATGCCTTTATAATAGAAAAAAAATTAACGGCACAGCATTGCGCAAGGAATCTAGCCGTAAGCCGACCCCAGAAAGTGTGAGGGTTAACCTTCGCCGGCACCTGGGGGGAGGGTCGCCACCCCCAAGTTAGTTTTTCTGCTCTACACTTAACATTTTTAAAGCTAGAAACCTGATTTTCTTTGTATAGCTGCTTTTCTATCTTTTCTCAGCGTCCATTGAAAATTTCAAGCTTCTGCGGCATTTGGGTTTGGAGATATGACCTTGTTCTTCAGGTCATGTCATGTCCTAAATGACGAATACCCAATATCTTGCGATGGCTATGGGCCTTGTGAGCTTTTGACACGCTGATTTCGGCTTTTTTGCCAGTCTTACCTCCCACCTATCATTGAACATGTTGTTCTGCGATGTACAGATGTCAGAGTCAGGGTCAAGGTCAACCTAGGTCATCTAAAATTATTGCGCTTTAGGCAAGCTGAATTTACTTTTCGTGAAGTTTCTTTGACTGTATGTTTAGTAAAAGCTTCTCACTTCATGATCAAGTGTAATAGGGACACACAAACCGATCTGTGCACACATCAGTACATACACAGACATACACAGACATACAAACACATATCATTGACCTTGACCTAACTTGACGTGAAATGACCACAGCCAGCAAATTAGTCGGATAGTGTGACAAAGAGCTGTTCTAGCTCGCTTGGCACTAATACGGCAGCGTCATCGGTATATGATGGGTTGGCCCGCTGCTTGTGTAGGTATCTTATTCGACATCACCACAATTTTTTCTTACAAGATTTTAAGCCTTGCGGTCAAGAGCAACAGATTCTTTGGGAAGTGACGAATCCAATGATACCAATTTTACCTCATCAGGTCAGTCATTGACCTTCCAGGTCAGGTCAAACTAAAGAATGTTGCTGTTTGGGGTCACCGTTGCCCGTTGGAATATCACGTGCGCTGCTCATCATGTACCGATGACGCTGCCGTATTGTGGTGCCAAGCCAGCTAGAACCTCTTTGTCACACTATCCGACTAGGTTTTTGCTGGCTGTGGTCATTTCAGGTCAAGTTAGCTCAAGGTCAATGACATGTGTTTGTATGTCTGTGTGTGTCTGTGTGTACGAGTATACTGATGTGTGCACCGACTGTGAATGTGTCCATATTACATGAGATCATGAACTGAGAAGCTTTTGCCAAAAATACAGTCAAAGAAACTTCACGAAAGTAAATTCAGCTTGCCTAAAACGCAATATTTTTAGACGACCTAGGTTGACCTTGACCCTGACCCTGGCATCTCTACATCATTGAACAACATGTTCCATGATAGGTGGGAGGTAAGACTGACAAAAAAGGCCGAAATCAAGGTGTCAAAAGCTCACAAGACCCAACGCCAACGCAAGATATTGGGTATTTGTCATTTGGGTTATGACATTACCTGAAGAATAAGGTCATATCTCCGAAACCAAAAACCACAGAAACTTGAAATTTTCAGTGGACGCTAAAAAAGGATAGAGCAGCAGCTATACGAAATATCCGACTTCTAGCAATCAAAATGTTTAGTGCAGAGCAGAAAAAACTACCTAGGTCGGGGTGGGGGGTGTGGCAACCACTGCCCCCCCCCCCCATGTGCGGACGAGGATTACCTAAGTAATTTGAATATCAGGAAAATAATTTATTAAATCAGGTATTCCAACAGAGTCCCGCTTTTTTATAGGTGACCTCCGATTTGTGTTGCATCTAAGTTACCCAGGGGGCCTCTTATTTGTAATTGTAGGTACAGTACAGAGAGCCTCCTACTTCGACTACTTGCACAGAGAGCCTCCTAGCGTACATACGGCTAAGCTTCTACAGGTCGAGCGCCGGTCTCTTGTACGTACAGAGAGCCTCCTACTGTTACAGAGGGCCTCCTGTTTGTCTAGGGGGCCTCCTATTGGTTAACGGCGCCTCCTATTTGTCCAAGCGGCCTCCTATTCGTCTATGGGACCTCCTATTTGTCCAGGAGGCCTCCTGTTTCTCCAGAAGGTCCCCTATTTATCCAGGGGGCTTCTATTTTCCAGGGGGCCTCCTCTTTATCTAGGGGGCCTCCTACGTGTTCAGGGGCCTCCTATTTGTCCAGGGGCCTCCTATTTATCCAGGGGTCTTTTATTCGACTAGGAGTCTCATATTTGTGCAGGGGCCTCCTATTTGTCCAAGGGTCTCCTACTTGTCCCGGGGCCTCCTTTTTTTTTGAAGGGACTCCTTTTTGTTAAGGGAGCCTTCTATTTGTCCAGGGGGCCTCCTATTCGTACAGAGAGCCTCTAGCTCCTACTTGTCCATGGAGCCTCCTATTTGTTCAAGAGGTCCCCTATTTGTCCAGGGGGCCTCCTATTTGTCCAAGGGACCTGTTATTTTTCTAGGGGGCCTCTTTGCCCAAGAGGCCTCCTATTTGTCCAGCGTGCCTCCTACATGTTCAGGGGGCCTCCTATTTGTCCAAGGGGCCTCCTATTGGTTAAAGTAGCCTCTTATTTTCCAAGCGGCCTCCTATTTATCCAGAGGGCTCCTATTTTTAGGGGGCTTCCTCTTTATCCAGGGGGCCTCCTTGTTCAGGGGGCCTCTTAATTGTCCAGGGGCCTCCTTTTGTGAAAGGGGCCTCCTATTTGTCCAGGGGGCCTCCTTTTGTGAAAGGGGCCTCCTTTTTGTCTAGGTCTAGGACCTTCTATTTGTCCAGGGGGCCTCCTATTTTTGCAGGGGCCTCCTATTTGTACAGAGGGCCTCCTACTTGTCCATGGGGCCTCCTATTTGTCCAGGGGCCTCCTTTTGTGAAAGGGGCCTCCTGTTTGTCTAGGTCTAGGACCTCCTATTTGTCCAGGGGGCCTCCTATTTTTGCAGGGGGGCCTCCTAATTGTACAGAGGGCCTCCTACTTGTCCATGGGGCTTACTATTTGTCTAGGGGCCTCTTATTTGTCTAGGGCCTCCTATTTGTCCAGGAGGCCTCCTACTTGTCCAGAGAGCCTCCTATTTCTCCAGGGGACTTCCTGTTTTCCGGGGGCCTCCTACTTGTTCAGGGGGCCTCCTACTTGTTCAGGGGGCCTCCTACTTGTTCAGGGGGCCTCCTATTTGTCCAACAGGGCCTCCGATTTGTTCAAGGGGCCTCCTATTTAAACAGAGAACCTTTTATATGAATATCGGACCTCCGTTTGCAACGAAGCTGATGCGTCTCGGGGGCCTCCACTATTGGGGTCCCAAAATGACAA